AACTTACTGCGATGTGATGGGTTGTTGAATTCGCATGAAATTTCTAATCCTCCATATTTCTCTGATAAGGTATGAGAAAATGGCTGTAGCTAACGTGGCCATAATGACAATGCTTCCTCTATTCACCAGTGTGTCTTTTTAGTTAATGATTTCTAGATGGTTTATCCTGTGACTGTTGTTTGCTTTTAAGTCATGTAGCTCCTCCATCGGTTTCACGATAACATTTGTTTTGTTAACGGTGACGAAGTGTAACGGTAGAAGGTCAGTTTTTTGATCGAATCGAAACACCTTGCTATCGTTGCGGGTATTTCCAATACTAACTGAACATTTGTTGCATGTTATGAAGAACGTTCCAGTCAGATTATGTGGTTCATATCCACAAGTTTTTTGAAAATGTACTGGGATGATAGCGTTCTTCAACAAGATGCCGTTGTTTTCGATGATTTTAGTCTCTGACGAATTTGGGTCACTGATGAACACGCATCTGCTTGGATCACCACGAAGTAACTGGTGGTAACATTGGTTACAGGTTACGTTGACCAGATTTCGGTGTTGCACAAAAAACTGTTTTCGATTTGGTTGCATTTTTCATCTGATAGGAATAATTAGTCCCCGCTAATTACAGCAAATTTGCTGTTGATCTTAATTGTCCTTCAATCCACTGATATGGGTTCATTTTGTTATACAATTATGGGTTTCTTTTCATTCCAGTGTTTTAAAAAACACTTTCCATCACTGTTTCACTAAGTTTTTAATTGATTACACTTAATTCAAAATACAACGTTTCACTTCGCAAGACCTACATCTTTTCACTCAGTCTACGTAAACTGGACTGACTGATTAATTTAGTAAAATGGATGGTGCCTACCGATCGATGGTCGATTAGCTACTGCGTCAGGAGTCCTCGTCCGTTCTCATTCGTTCTGCGTCGTCGTCAGCGGTGCAGCTGTCATGCTGGGTCCGGCCTGGCGTCTTGTTGAGTCAGAAGAACTGTGTCCGTCGTGTTATCTTGATGAGTCGGGAGAACCGCGTCCGGTTTGCTGTTGGCTCCATGGTTGGTATGTTGCTAGCTGGTCGATGTTGCTACCAGCTGTATTGATGATTCTGCATCTTGCCATGATCGGTTGATCATAGGTTTGTACATAATTTCCCCCTTCTTGGATTAAACCGTCCCGAGATGCCGTTGTTTTCGATAATTTTAGTCTCTGAAGAACTTGGATCACTGATGAACACGCATCTGCTTGGATTACCACAAAGTAGCTGATGGTAACATTGGTTACAGGTTACGTTGACCAGATTTTGATTAAGACTACGATAGAAGAGTCATTATGAAGTGCTGCCAATTTCAGATATTCATACGTCTGATCGTAGCTGGTGGTTTCAATTTCCTGCGATCTCAACATTTGGGTTGTCAACTCTAATTCTGTGGGGTACAACAGTGTCGTTGAAACTCCAAGTCTGTATAATTTAATAGCTTCAAATATGGTGTCCAATTGGAAGCGGATGGTGTCCAGGTTGAAGATGTCGTTGTGCAGGTGAAGCATGTGTTGCCAGTCGAATGATCTATTTAAATTTAATCTTGTTTGTTTGATAAATCTGCTAACATCTACTGACTGTCTGTAAGCTTCTTTTATCAAATTATTAATTCTCTTTTCAAAAAGATCATTGATTTTAATTTTTCATTGTTTTCTGTGATCAACATATTATTTGATTTTTTTTAGAGAGTCAATTTGATTATTCAGCGATAGAAGATCCTGATTATCAAGGTTACCGGTAACAGATTTTACTACAGTTCCTAGAATGTTAATGCTTCTTTTCTGGCTGCGTTTTGAGGTTAAGTTTTGCAAAATAATGCTAGCCTGTTTATGCTTTTGTCTAAGAGTTCTTGTTACTTCTTCTAACTTTGTGTTCTGTTCTAATTCTGAAATGGTTGTTTCGTATTGTCTAAGAATTGAATGAAATGGGTGTAGCTTAAATTCATGGATTAATTTATGGTAACATTGTCTAATAAATACTTTTCCTATTTTGATGGCAAATATGCCCGGGTTATTATTCAAGTCGGTTTTACTCTGAAAAGAAATATAAACGGTATTAGTATCTCGTATGCTTATCGTGTTTTCCTTTTCTCTTTAACTTCGATTTGTGAACCTTCCTTCCGTTTTGATATATGATGTTTGTTTCTTTATTGTCTACAACTTTGTTTTCTTTATATCTTTCTTGGTGTTTCAAGTTATTGTCTTTTCATTTACCGTATCGTGCTCGATGAAATTTTCAGAGTCTTCTTCTCGGTTTTGGTTCTTTTTTTTCTAAATCTTTCTGCTTTTTCAATTTCTATTTAGCAGCAAATATTTTGAATAATGCTTCTTTCTGTCTAACTCTTGCGTCGAGATCATCCGGTATCGAATCTTCATTTTTGAATTCAAAAATAATTCTTTAGGTTTCAAACCAGTTTGAGAATGAATAGAATCATTTTAAATTGAAACTGCTAGGTTAATTTTTGTTGTTTCTGCTAGATCTTTTGTGGATTCTTTGTTGGACAAAATGTTGTGAAATTCTCTCAATTTTATGTGAACAATTTATTTAGTTCCATTAGAAGAGGATTGTCCAACACTTGTGTAATGGTATTTCACATTGTTTTCTTCAAAAAAATCTTTCAAAGTTGTCGACGTAAATGAAGCGTCTTGGTCCATTACGAGAAGGGATGGTTTCCCTAGGTTAGACAAAAAGTGAGTAATCGCCTTAAGTATGTTTACCACGTTATGCGATTTTAATGGGATGGCCATAGCTAATCGCGAAAATTTGCCACAAAGCGTGTTGTAGCAAGTATATACTTTTGTTTATATGGATGTCATTCATATTTTGCTTATTGAAGGTAAAGAAAAAGAAGGTACGGGAGATATGGGAATTGGTCTCGTTTATTCCTATGTGATTAGCGTTATGTTGTCTTTCGATGATTTGGTCTTGTTCCAATTCGTCAGTTATGTCTTATAGTAGTTTTTGTGTCCAGTAGATTTTAAAGGACTTTGCTCTCGAGAAATAATGTTAGTAGACGGTTTGCAAGTTGCTTAGTATTCTTTCGCTACAACAAAAATCCAGTAGTACTTTTCAAGGCATATTCTTTTAAAATGTTTATCAAGACTGCTGGACCAAAATGTGTCTTTTTAATTACGGCTCTGTGATAGTTCCTAACCATTGTTGAAGATTCGCGAGAAACTTCGTCAGTTTTTTCAATAATAATTTGATTTTTAAATTCGTTTAAAGGTCTTTCTGTCAACGGAGTAAAATCATTATCGTCGACAGAATGTTAGGTCATGTCGTCGCCTTCGTTGTTGGATGTATTTGCGTTCAATTCTGTTTTTTTTCTGTTTCCGGGTTAATTCGAGAAAAGGGCATCTGCATTGCCATTTAAAGTACCTTTTTATATAGTTGAAGATGCTAAGTGATGTGTTTGAAACAGTTCTATCGATTGTAACGCAGTCAAGTCGTTATCTGAAGGGAGGCATCTAGTCGTGGGTTTGGAAATTGCAGCTATTGTTACCTCTACCACTGTATGTGCTCCTGTCATCGTCGACTTGACGATCTCGAGTAGACGCGGGTAGGGGAGGTGCTGTCACTGTACCTTTTTGTCCGAAAAGTAATTTTCCGGAAGGTCTGCAAAATACTCCTCCGCGGTGTCGATGATTTCCTCACGTTAGCTGAATTTTTTATTGATGAGCCATTTTTTTTGGTTTGGGTAGAGATAATAGTCTGAAAAAGCCAAATCGGGCGAATACGGTGGATGCGGAAGCAATTGGAGCCGTAAGTCATTGATTTTAGCCGTGGTTGCGATGCTCTTGTTCGCCGGCGCATTGTCTTGCAAAAACCAATTTTTTTTTCGCTTCATGTGAGGTCGTTTTGCAGCGATTTTGGCCTTCAATCGCTCCAATAATGCACAGTAATACTCGCTGTTGATGGTTTTTTCCTTTTTCGAGGTAGTCCACGAAGAGTAGGCCATGACAATCCCAGAAAACCGACGCCATAACCTTTCCGACCCATCGAGCCTCCCTTGGCCCCTTCCAATGATCGTGCCGGCTTCAGTCCATTACCGGGCACTCATCATGTTCTCTGGGGTGTAATAGTGGATCCAGGTTTCATCAACAGTTACCAATCGACGCCAAAAGTCCGCCCGATTCCGCATCAGCTAGTCCAAACACTCTTTCGAAGTGCTCTCGCGTTCGTGTTTTTGGTTAGAAGTGAGCTTGCGCGGCACCCAGCGGCAGGATAACTTTTTCATGAGTAGAATCTTGCTCAAAATATGGCGTGTGCGCTCAGTACTAATCTTTGCGGTATCTGCTTGCTCGTGCACCTTCACTTTCCGGTCAGCCAACACCATTTCATGTATTTTTTGACATTGTCCTCTGTCCTCGCATCGGAGGGCCTGCCGCTGCGGACTTGATCGGTAGTGGAGTTGCGGCCACAACGAAACTCTCGAAACCAATATTTGACAGTGTAATCTGACGGATCATTAGCCGCATAATATTTATCCAACTTTTCTTTTGTTTCCTTCGCCTAATGTTTTATGTGAGAACGAAATTCGTTTTTATCCATACTCAACATGATGCCAAACACGTAAACAACAATCAGCTGTCAAAACAAAACTAAAGAAAGTATCGCACTGACATTTGGCATGTCTGCCTATATAAAAACGGACTACAAGGCACCATAACCTTTTTTGAAGTAGCAGCGCATTCTGGCGGTCAAGGAGGTTACTTTTCACGCCACCTAGTACATGAGAAAATCGGTTTTCTTTGGCTAAGGATTTAATGTTTATCATCATTTCTTTCGCCTTTTTGTAGTAGCTATGAAGAGATTCTGTCATTTTCATGTTCCATATTTGTGTTTGGTATGTCGCAATGGTGTTTCTGTCACCAAAGCTACCTAGAAGCACATTTTCTGCTTCTTCGAAGTTCTGTGGGATACCGTGGCTTCATCAACAACTTTATTAATGATGCACTGTTCGAACATCGACAGTGTTTCTTGTGAAACACGATTTCTAAACAGGTCAAGGGTTCTTCTTACAGTTTGAACTCATGCTGTCGAAAGTAGGTGAGAACTTTATCGGATCTGGTATCCTGAAAAAGTCACCGGAATCCTGCTGTGCAGCATTCTGATTGTGTTGCGTATTCTGTACACGTAAGTTGTTATCTTCAACTTGTAGAGTGTTTAATCTTTGCTCTAAAGAAAGCATGTTGTTGTACAACGCTTGAAGGTCGACAACATTATTTTCCTGAGGATTCAATTTTGCAATAAATTTCCGTGCTTTCACTTCCGGAAACGGGTTAAATTTGCTCATGAAAGGGATAAATTAATTGAAATTACTTACGGTTCATAACTCTTAAAGGGTTGAAGCCCACCGACGAGTCACCTACGGGTTGAGGGATGGCTCCTTAAGATTCCGTTCGTGTCACTTGGTTTACACTAGCTGCTGGAAATAAAGTCACTGGTCTTCGGAACTGCAACACTGTACTTAGTCTTAATTTACCGGCACGTCCGTTGTCGCTGCTTCGACACTAGTTTTCGATTTTCACTGGGGTTGAGAATTTGCCACGGGCTGGGCGTTTCACTTCACTAGAGCTTTTTCTAAACTAGTCAATAGTCACTGCATCGTAGAGTGCTCCGTACGATTGCGCCAATTATGGGTTTCTTTCCATTCCAGTGTTTTAAACAAAACACTTTTCATCACTGTTTCACTAAGTTTTTAATTGATTACACTCAATTCAAAATACAAAGTTTCACTTTGTCTTCCTAAGCTGAACTGGCTGATTAATTTAGTAAAATGAATGGTGCCTGCCGATCGATGGTCGATTAGCTGCTGCGTCAGGAGTCCATGTCCGTTCCCATTCGTTCTGCGTCGTCGTCGTCGTAAGTATGCTGGCTCGGGAGAACTGCGTCCGGCCTGGCGTCTTGTTGACTCAGGAGAACTGCGTCCGTCGTGTTATCTTGATGAGTCAAGAGAACCGCGTCCGTTCTGCTACCAGCTGTATTGATGATTTTGCACCTATGCCATGATCGGTTGATCATAGGTAGAGTAAGCGTTTGTACATATCTATACATTGTTCTTTATTAAAAAGTTATTTCAAGACTAATAAATTGATGAAAACATATTGAGCTAATCAACATACAAAATCGGCTGACTAAATCTGATTACATTTGTTGATTGATACAGTGTCTAAAAATACTGGAAAATAATACCAGGTTTAGTCGGTAGACGAGTTGGTTAATTTAGTTGATGCTTGTTTATTTGGAAGATATTTTCGAAACAAAGCACTTTAATATTCAGCCATCGTTCCATACCATTATTAAGAGCCTACTACTTTTTGCTCGTATTTTATTTAGACTAAGGGGAACTAGGGACATTATGAAACCCCGGGGAAGATTGGACACCCTCTATATTTTCTAAAATATCAACATTTTTTCAATTTACATGCAACATATATTTCATTCCTCTTCTGAATGAGTATTTTAACGAGTGAACTTATTTTAATATGTTCGTAATCACCGTATTTTTGCTGTGTGGTAAAAAATTACAATTCGTACGTATCACCAGATAAGGTGTAGCGAGTAGATGACGGTAACTAGACTGCAACTATCGTTTGTTGTTGAATATTCAATTGCTTTATGTTGTTCCCACATAGGAGAATGGCTCTAATGTTGGCCTATGGATCTAAGATTGTTGCTATTGTTTCTAGATGAACGCATCATTGGGACGGTACTAATGTATATTTTTGGTCGCTATTGAAAATTTAGTCGATTGCTGAAATTATTTATTAGGGGCATTTAGGCCGCCATTGCATCCATTTTCCCTATATATTTGATTAATTTTCGGTAGGTTCATTAAAATAATCAAAAACTAACTATAAAATATATTGTCCTGTTGGGGTAGACGTTAAGGTGTCCATATTGTACCGTAGGGGTGTCCATTTTGGCCCGCTAGCTTTACGATGTCAATGTAATGTAACAATTTTTTTTTTTTTTTAAAAAGAAAAGAGCTATTTTTTAAAATTTAATCGAATGTGTAACTGTTGCCTAATTAGTGACAAAAGTGTTTAGTAAATAACACATAGCGATATGTTGATGCCTATCAAGTCAAACTTGGCAAATTTTTTAGGGTGTCCATAATGCCCCTAGTTCCCCTACTCAGAAACTCACTAAATACAAAATATTTAATTGTTTTTTGGTCACAATCTCAAAAATGTATTCAGTTTGACACACGATTTTAGCCTCATCACCGCTGCGACTGCAGCGCTACGGTGGCCTAATAAAACATAACTTTCTAAAACGTACCTATCGTATTCGGGCTCATCGACGTTGAATAGTTGAGTGGGTTGGCCCTTCTGTTAAACTACAAACTCTACAATCTGTCAACAAGTATTAAGTATGGAATTTCTCTATACATCGCTCAAATAAAACCTGTTTTTAGTTCGCACACAAAACTGTTCATCTATTCGACTGCCTCTCATTCGACAAAATTTAAATAGGACTATTAATGGCAATTTAACAACTATGAATCGTGAAAGAAGAATCTTTCTGTGGATAAACTACCATCACTGGATCAACAATAGAAAAGGGCCCATCAGTATTTGTAAACAAACCGTTCCAAAGCCTATTCCTCACAAATTGAAGGCCTCCCACATAAACCAACACCATCATCGTGTAGGTGGAAGTTTCCCCTATCCGATGCTGGTGTTGGTTTGCGTGGGTGGCCTTCGCTTTGTGAGTAAAGAGCTTTGGAACGGTTTGTTTACGAATGCTGATGGACCCTTTTCTATTGATGATCCAGATTCTGTTTCTTCATACACATGGTAAAAATAAAAATAAAACAACTCTAACAGGCTTCTTCCACTCACTTGCTATAAAAAAATGACGTAGGAACTTCGAAATCATTAGATGTTCAAATTATATTTCGATAAGATACAAGAAGAGGTTGAAAGGCAAGTGTTTGACACATAAAACCTGTCAAATTTGCTTTCAGATAGTCACAATCAGCGATTTTACGACTCGCGACCGCTCACTCTGAGTCACGAATCATAAAATCGCTAGTAGTGACACTCTGAAAGCAAAATTTTCAGGTTTCATGTGTCAAACACATACTTAACAACCTCTTCTTTGAACTTACAAGTACAAAATATCATAATAACATCTAATGATTTTATAATTCCGAAAAACATTTTTTTTTTATAGTAAGTGAGTGCAAGCAACCCTGAACTCTAATTTATATCCCGCATATTTAAATGTAGCCAATTTTACTCCCATAACAGGAAACAAATTAGAGAACTGATAGATACTAAACAAGGAAAACTAATAGAAGACTAAATGCAAAGATGTAAAAATATCAACGGTCTATTAGAGATAAACAAATTGTAGATCAATTGAATGTATATGATACTGCTTCATAATGAGGTAAAATCGAATAGCGTTATCGGTGTGCTCCAAAGTAGCGATAGTGATTATAAGTCCGGTCTCGTCTAGCGTTTCCAAACTGTACATTTGTTACAAGGTATAGCACAAAATACTTAATGGAAAAAGTACGTTCCAACTAGTCTCTTAACAACATATACCTATTAAACGGTAAACGCGAAGCGAAAACAAAACAGAAGAAATACAAATATTTGCACTCAACAGTAACAACTTAAAGCTGTTTTTTTCGTTCAAATGCAGCAAGATCCGAAGTCCTTATTCCGATCTGGGAGTTAGATTATTCTTGGCCGGTTCGAGTAGTTCCTCCACGATGCTATCAACCATCTCGCGAAGGGTCGTCCTCGATGCATTCCAATCCCTGCAATAGTGAAATCAGGTCAGTATACTATAAAAATGTGTCAGGACAGGGCTTGAATGCATTGCGGTTCGTATCTTTGCTAAGGTTTCACGGCCGCTGAGACTAGCTCAGCAAGGGTGTGATTTCTACTCAGTTGGTTGAGACATATCTTAAAACGCAGGATTTTTTTAATTTTATTTAAAAGCTTTTTAGCCACGAGAACGCAGGTCATTTAGTTCTGAGTTATGTTCATTTGCGGCTTTATTTTTATTTTTAAGGAAATTCTTCTTTTTCTTCGCATTCCATGCTTATTGCTGACGTGATTGTCTCTCATCCCAAAGGGTCTGGGTTCAATCCGATTCGGCGCCGCTGGGATTTTCTAAGGCATAAAAACCTCTGATAAGGGAAGTAAAGCCGTTGGTCCCCGGTCCATGAGTTTGATGGATCGATAGGTAGGGTAGGATCCAGTTGTAGGAGCTGCCTTCCTGGCGACGGTAGCACTGGTACTCAGCACGGAAAACAAATCAAGAAAGAAAAAAACTCATTGCTTATCGCATGTTAGCTTATATTAGCTTAACTTAGGCTCTGAACCATTTGGTGGATTATTTTAACTTTTGGTTAAAATTTGACAGATGGAAAGTTATAGATTAACCCTGCTATCCGAGCGTGGTTACTTCTGACAGACAAGAAGTTAAATTTTCACAACCTTGGCTTAGTTATTCTCGAAAACCGGTCGATCGACAGCACAGGGATTTTCGAACTAGAAAATAACTTTCGAAACGTCACTTTTAACCACGAGTTAAATTTAACTCGGCAAATGGTTCACAGCCTTAGTGTTCTAGATGCACTTCCACAGTTATTAATTTGAGAGCTTTAGATGCTTGTACCATTTTTGGTATTGGTATAAGTGTGTAGAAACAGTGTTTACTCAGCTGTCGTCAGAAGCAGGCCACTCTCGATTAGAAATACTCAGAGGGAGAGATGGGTGGAGGAAATGTTTTGAGCCAAATGAACTGTCAAAATCTGAGCCAATCGAACATTCCCATTAGATTTTTACCAAGGATTTCATATTCTTACTAGATTAAATTTGAGAGTATTGCAATCGAATAGAAATTCAATCACCTTTATGTTTCGTGTGCTTCTCAAATTCAACTAGTTTTTCGAATCAAACACAATATTCTAACTCTATTGATTAATTGATCTCAGTTGGTTGATTAATGGCACCAAGAAATGTGCAAAATATTGCGATGCAATCAATTATTATGTTGCACGTAAATCGAATCATACACTACCGATCATAAGTTTAAGGACACCCCCAAAAACCCATGCAAATATGTTTTGTTCAATGATCTCCAAAGGTTATTTGAATGGTATAGCATAAGTGTTCTACTACTACTTTTATTTCAAAATTTGGCCAACCCAATTCTGAAAAAATCAGTCACGATTCTTCAGAGTAAATTTTGAAAAATATTGTAACTTTGGGTGAACTTTTAGCACACAAAATATGAAAACTATATTAAACAATTTGCCTACGAGGAAAGTGTCATTCAATACCTTTCAAATAATCTAAAGAGAACGAAAATTGGACGTAACATGACAGAGATATGAACATAACAAATTTGTCATGTTTTTTTTTGGGTGTCCTTAAACTTATGATCGGGAGTGTATATAAAAGTCATGTGAATTGCTAGCTTCTAGCAAGGGTTGCAAGATAATTTAGGTAGAAATCCCTGTGCCGAATTGTAATTTGTTTTCTCCGCCCATCTCTCCCTCTGAGTATTTCTACTTTCGATGTGTGTCACGCGATCGTTCTCGCGATCGTCTATTTACTCGACAGCAACCATTGTGTGGTCCTCATCATTGTTCTTCATCATCAGTTCTTTCGGTTGATGCGTTGTCGACTTTGGAAAGCAACCGTTTCGTGATGAGTGTGTGAGTGATGACCACGTTTTGCGTCCATTGCTGCAATGGAAGCGCTCTGCCCCCGTTGACGATACTGCCATACAATAAAACCACAGGAAGCGGATCCCGTTCTGATGGAGGAAACTTATTGGATAACGGGAGATAAAGTATTTGTTGTGCTACATAGGGCTGAACAAAATGACAGCGGTATAGCGCCACAGCGGCAAACGCGTAATGCACTACATGGTAACCGCAAAATACCCAATAATGACTACAAAGAAAGTATTTTCGAGGGAAACTGGGGCTACCCATTAAATGAGTAAAAGTTTACCCATTTATGAGTAATTACAACTTAAAAAAAAAGTAGTAGGTATTCATTTGTGAGTAACAAATACTCATAAATGGGTTGTTTTTTACTCATTTAATGGATATATTAAACCACACGATTTTACGTGATAATTCTCACAGGAAAAGCGTTGCAGTTGTCCTACAAATAATTATTTAGATTTGTGTATTTGCAAAACGGTTTTTAATTCTCGATTTAATTGATTTCAATGAAAACAACCTAACACAACCAAAGTACACCAAAGCTGCATCACCGCCATATTGAATCGCACTATTTTATCATACTTGCAAATTAAACTTACCATTTATGTGATATATATACTAATATCGTCGGTCATGAAAATCACGTAACTTTTATCAGAATTTCTATTGACATTTATGTGAAATTCCGTAGATTCTACGTCAATCACGTAGCAATGATGGAAACTGAATGTTTCAGGGGCTACATGATTTTACATGTAACATGGACGTGCATAGCTATTTTAACTTGTTTGGTAATGTTTGTTATTATGAAATTTTAGCGTTTTCAAGCCATTTTGTAGTTTTTATGATCGTTTTTACCTTACAATAATTGTATTCAATACTGTGCGTCTAGCTTATGGAATTTCTAAAAGTGGGTCACAATCGACAATAGTTTGATGGTTTGCTTCACCGGCAGTATAAGAAACAACTAGTTAGCTAACATCACTCACCTTTGTCCCGGTTTAGCGCACATTTCAGCGTAGTACTTGATCTTCGGTTCGGTTCCGCTCGTACGCAGCGTAATGACGGCTCCGTTTTCGAACGAGAATGTAATCATCTGTGAACTCTTACTGGATGGTAGTAAGGCTTTTCCATCCTCTTGAGCAGAATCATACCCGGTGGTCAAGTCGCGAATCGATTCTATCTTGTACTGTCCACCACCAATCGCCTTGGGATAGCCACAGTCTTCTCCTTCCAAGGTTCGAATACGGTTGAAGATGCGATCTATTACTACCGGATCGTAACAGAAGTGATACGACGTGAGTGCGTAGTGATATCCATAGATATCATACAGCTCGTTTAGCTTGTCCGAAAGTGATTGGTTGGAGGTGTCTTTCAGATAACACACCATCGTTGCCAACTGACATGCCGCACTAACTCCGTCTTTGTCGAGCACCGTCGGAGAGCACATGAATCCGATAGCTTCCTCGAAGGCGAATAGAACCTTCTTACCCTCTGCCATAAATTCCACGGATTTATTGCCTAAAAATGAATCGATTAACAAAAACCACAAAACGAACTTTCTCAAAGACAACTCACCCATCCATTTGAAACCCGTTAGAGTTTCCTCGAAATTCAGTCCGTCAACTTTGGCAATCGACCTGCATATTTTCGAGCTAACCGTACTTGCTAGCAGGTAGCAATCCTGAAGACTGCAATCTGGATACAGTTCTCGGTAACAGCGGATCGACCACCATCCAAGCAATGCTCCCAGTTCGTTACCAGAAAATACACGCCATTCTCCGGAGCTGGAATTGAACATTTGAATTAAGTAGAACTTCACCATCACCTACAATTAAGCTCGCAACTAACCTGGGATTCTTTTCGGCACATGCCAACCGATCGGCATCGGGATCATTCGCCAGAATCACATCGCAACCCATTTCGTTTGCCAACTTTATCGACAGAACCAGACTAGATTTGCCTTCCTCCGGGTTGGGGAACTTCACAGTAGGGAACTCCGGATCCGGATCGCGTTGTTCTTTGACCGCCAGCACCGGTTGTAGTCCTACAGTTTCGAAGCCACGTTCAACAAAGGGATACCCAACGCCATGCATGGCAGAGTAGACGAACCGTTGAGAGCTCTTTCGGTTGTAGTCAGTGACGAATGCTTTCGGGACATTGGCGGAAAGTTTTTCGAAATACAGCTTCGTCATGGCATCATACGGATCTTTCAATTGTTCCGTTTTTAGCAGATCTAAATTCCAAGAACTTTCCAACGGACTGAAATTAAATTGATGGAAACAAAAACGATTAATGAAGAAGGTGAAATGAAGTTATACTATGTTACAACGTAATATACTTACACCAAATTTTTCAGGATGTGAGCCTGGATATTCTTATCATGAGGAGAGATAATCTGCGCACTGTTTGTCCAGTACACCTTGTAGCCATTGTCCTCTTTCGGATTATGTGACGCCGTAACCATTATACCGGCGAGGCATTGTAGCTCTTTCACAGCAAATGGAACGAATGGCGTTGCCATGGTCTGACTGTACAGCCACACCGGAATCCCTTCGTTGAGAAAAATGCACGCACTGAGTTCGGCGAATCTAGAAACACACAACACACATTAATTAGGACGTTCAAAATATCAAAGCTAAACATTAATTTCAACCATCTGATAATGAATCTTTACCTCTTGCTGTTGTGCCGCCCATCGTATGCCAGTACAACACCACGCTGCCGATCTGATTGCGAAGGATAGCACTCGAGGATATACTTGCACAGCCCTTGAGCCGTCTGAATCACCACCAGATGGTTCATTGCATTAAAGCCTGCTTGCATTACACCACGGAGGCCAGCCGTCCCGAATGCAAGCCGCTTCAGCAATCTTCCGGTAAGGACTTTCCATTCCTCACTCTTCACAAGCGATTTGATTTCGTTCAGAGTGTTCTCGTTCTGCGAAAAAGATGTTCAATTCAATTCCCTTCTCCCACCTTCGTTCAAGCAAGTTGAAAAGCACATTACTCATTCATAGCCAATTTGCATACCCACCTTATCCCAGTTCAACCATTCGGATATCCTTTGGTTCAGTTCCGTGGAACCAGAGTCGAAATGAATTCCGTTTGCTTCCATTTTAGATACCCGTTGAAGCGAAAGTCCTGGCAACGAAAACGTTATTCACCGAAATCAAATTTTTCTCCTTCCTTCCGTGCTGTGCTCCACACGAGTTCAACTCTACTAGGTGACTGCCGGGCCAAATCTTCAATTTAATCTTGTCACTGTTGTTTGCTAAAGCTGTCGATGCTTCGCGGAAACCGTTCAACTGGAAGTAGAAAAAGGAACATAGAACGAGCGTGTTAATAATTGATGTGAACATTATCAGCAGTGACGTGCAGTCACGGTTACACTGATTTCATTCACGTCGCTGGGTACAACGACGGGATGAGCAACAATATACTATTTTTCTTCTTCCTTTGCTTTATTACTTCCCTACTGGGACTTTACGCCGGCTCCCAACTTAGTGTTCTTGAGCACTTCCATAGAGCTTTTTAAGTCAGTGCATTATGGCCAGTGTGGCAAGTACAATCATACTCTATGCCAAGGGAAGTCGAGACATTTTTCAATCCAAATAATTCCTAGACCGAACCGAGAATCGAACCCAGATGCCTTTTGTCGTTATAAGTCAAGGAACACACCAAACGATTTAACGTAAAAGCGCACTGTTAATAGCATTATAATGTGTGCAATGCGCAGTATATGAACGGAAATATTTGCACATATGGTTCATTTAAACAAGGGAAACTGCATGCAATCAGGTCAACGACTTCTAATTTGATTGACTATGTGGATTTACAATCTCTCCACAATTATGGAACACTTCAATTTAATTAACACACTGGACGTACTGTTTCATAAGTATTCTACGCACCTCCAGCGTCAACGTGAAAGACTCCCACCATGGGCGAATGTTTGCTTTTGCCCTAATCTTGGGTCAGGTCAGATTTCTGTCGACTTCCTTTATTTCTTAGTTGAGGCCGTCCTCATGAAGCCCTGGGTCTGCTTCTTCAGTGATGTCCTGCCGGGTTCCAATCCAGCACTTCTGCCCGCCAGCCCACTTCCACTTGTGAGGCAACCAGGCACGAATTACATACCGCAGACATCGGTTAATAAAGACCTGCAGCAGCTTTTGAGTGTTTTCTGTTGGTATGCACCATGCGTAGCTTTTTTTTTGCCGAGATTGGCACCACCAAGTATTTATTTTTACTGAGACCTCAGTGGGTTTGAATGGGTGGCCTTCGATTTACGAGAAGAGGGTTTTAGAACTGTTTGCTTACAAATGCTGATGGGTCCTTTTCTATTGTTGCTTCAGAAATTCACCTACCATAATCTCGTCGAGGAGCCGTAGCGGTGATATAGGGGGAATGCCTAAATGCCCCTAATTTGGGCCAATACATAAATTCAGCAATTGACTGAATTTTCAATAGCGACCAAAAATACTCATTGGTACCGCCCCAATGACGCGTTCATCTAGATAAAATTGATAAATAGCAGATTTTTAGCGATGGGCCCAATCTTAGATCCATAGGCCAACATTAGAGCTAATTTTAGAATAAATACACCCTTCTCTCACACCAGCGACGACCCCGGTTAAAGTCGAACTAGGCTCCATTATGCAGGACTCTGTACGTGAATGTCTCGTATTGAACATTTATACGGTAAGCATGGGGTCAGCTTTGAGCGTCACTGCTGATATCGACCCCGACAGCCTTGTTAATGCTTCGGAAAGCTGCTTCTATACTTCCTTTGGTGGATCATGCCGAGATATTGATGGCTGGTTGGTCATCAAAACTTGAGGAAGTTGTTCAAAGTGGACGGGAGCGGGACATTTCGCCGAAGGACGTTTGAACTTTTCTCAAAGATCAGTAAACTTTGAAATCAGTCTCGAAAAAAAGATTAAGAAGTTATTCAAATGTAATGCTTCCTTTTTTTGAACATGAGCAGTTCATTCGAGTTGTACTGAATTCAGAAATTCTCAAATAAGTTGTACTGAATGAGTTATTTTCAAAATAATCAATATTTTTGATCTAAAGGGATTATCCCTTCTTTTAAACATGACCAGTAGACTGATGCAAAATTTGACTTTTTCGCTCTACAGTGCTTAAATGGTTTCAAATCGGGTCCTGATTAGCCTCCCAAAGTTACAACTCATTTGGTTAGAAACAGACTTCGGACAAGCTATTTGAAGTTTACATGTAAATTACTATGGGAAATCTCAACTTTTTGTTCATTGCCTTCTAGTCTTTTTCCATATTGAGCTACGAAACAGTTTGATAGCCATTCTTATAAACAATTTTCTCAGCTACAACTTTGCTGAAGATCGTTTCTATGTAAAACGAGATAGGAAAAAGTTATTAATTATTTAAGAGGTTGGTAAACTAATGACATGATCAAGCAGCTGCTCTGTAGGCAACACTGTATTTTGCAGTGTGACATAGTAGCCATGATTTTTGTGTCCTACTCAACGCCCCAGAAACACCAATAATGTTGCCTGCTGAGCAGTTGATTGAGCATGATCATAAGACATCAGCTCATTGAACCATTGATAACTTTCGATCCTTGCATTTATTCAAAATGTTGTCTCCAGCAAAGTTGTAGTTGGGAAAATTTCCTTCATGTACAATTGAAAATTTTTGAAGCAGACTAATATGGTGAATTATTAGATAGACATGAACAAAAATCTTGGTTTTACCATAGTAATTCCCATACAAACTTCAAATGGTTTGTGCCATTTCAGCTTCTCACCAAATGGGTTCAAATTTTGAGAGGTTAGTCAGGATCCGATTTGGAATCGTTTAAGTATTGTGGAGCGAAAATTTCAAAATTTGCATCACTCTAATGACCAGTTCATTCAGTTTGATTCATGATTAAAATTCGGCGAATGACCCATTCGGCGAAATGACCAAAGCAGCGAAATTTCCTTCGGCAAAACGTCCTTCTACGAAATTTCCTTCGGTCAAATGACACAGCCACCTGCTTCTATACTTCCTTTGGACGATCATGCTGAAATATTGATGGCTGGTTGGTCATCAAAACTTGATGCAGTTGTTTGAAGTGGACAAATTAACGCTGCAAGCTAGTCAGTTCGATCTTATATAGGCAAGCAGTCAGTTCGATCTTATATAGGCATTCTTGGATTCAACCTTGCTCCACTCCGGCGTCGTGAGATATCGTAGAGGAGTCGAATATCGTCAGTTGTTGCGGTTTTCTCCACAGTCCACACACGCTCATTTGTCCCATCTGCAAGAGCGATTTACTTCCTTCTCTAGAGTCGAGTACTGTTGATGATCTTTGCTCTTTGCTCATCTGGTTCTTGCCCGCTCTATCGCGGATTTTGTTCGCCTGCACAGAAAAAAAATTCTGAATGTTACCTATCGCGTAAAATCTTCTTTCGTTTAATGTTGAGCTACAGTTGGCATAAACAACGAAATTGTTTACAAGCTTGCATACAATATTGCTAATTGAAGTGATAATGCGCTTAAATTTACACGAAACATCGTGTAAATTTATGCCAAATTTATGCTTCCATCACTTTTTCCTTTGAATACGGCGCTCGACAGCTTTGTTCTCACTAATTTCGATAACGGAATTCTTTATGGCCGTTACCTTCCGGAATATACGCTGCTCAGATTTTTTTAGAGGCCGCTTTAACTTGCATGTTAAAAACAATTATAACTCTGACAACATTAGAGATACAAAATGGGTTTCTTCAGCAAAGTTGCTTCAAATAAATATCCAGGTAAAATTTACTCACGAATTTAACCGAAAATCAGGTTGCACAATTCTAGGGAAGCTATACACTTATTTTTTTTATTGCTGAGATTGGCGCCGCCGACTAACTCGGTATTTTATTTTGCTGAATCTCAGTGATAAACATCCCAGTTAAAATAAATACCGAGCTAATTCGGCGGTGCCGTTTTTTGCCGAACTAGATTGATTGTGTTGTTCATTTTATCTTAGGAGCCTCAAATAGACGGGTCCGGTCGAGGAAATCATTCAGGTTGGAAATTTATTCGACTTCCCTGGGCATAGAGTATTATCATAGACTAACACTAAGACCTGAGGGTCACGAAGGAACATGCTCAATCTTTTGGCTCAGGATGTACCAGACTTTCGATACCAAGCTAATTGATGACCCCACGAAACATAAGAAAAATGCACGTACCCCTCATTTATTCTGTCAAATTATCAAAGCGAATCAAAACAAACACAAACTTTTAAAGCTTTTAGTACGATATGTATTTACGACATGAGATAACAACCCAATTTCATTACTTCATTAAAAAATAGTTTTTTTTTTTTAATTTCGTCACCTTTTCCCCCACACAGAAGTTTTGGCTGCGCCACTCTGTAGGAACATTTTTCTCGGTTAGGTAAATTGGGTATTCCCCAAATATGGATTTTATACTACCTACGTTCTACTGATTTGAGATTTTGTCTAACAATGACGTTAGGTTGAAAAAATTGTATTGGGATAACCGATTTTTTTTTTTGTAATAATGTCATCCTAGCTAGCACATTGTGAAAAATTGATGGATTTAAATTGAATACGGGTACTGAAAACAATAGCAAAAATCTTCTGTTATTGAACGTCTTGTCGCCGAACCGTTATCTCTAATTTCCGGTTCTGATTACGAAAATTTAAAATTTTCTATCAACGCAAAACACCGCAAACCACAATGCCAGAAAGTTCATTTCATCCATGTAGCTACATTGTACATATCTCCCTTTTATTGACTAACCGAAACTGGCAAGTGCTCTCACCTTTCCACTCAATGTAAGGTAGACGCTTATATAGCTGCAGTACGTTAGAAGCAAGTTCATATGGAATCTCCATAAGCAACTGTACACGCAAAACAAATTTCTCTTACATCTAACCGGCTGTTCATTAACTACGTAGACAGTTTCCATACTCCCCCTGCGTAGACAATTGTCCATACAAAAAAAAATTGTATGGGCCGTGGATGATTGTCAACCCCCCCTAAGCTGTCTACGTCGTTTATGAACAGCCCCTAAGATAAGGTTGGTTTTATTACATCCTCTTGGATTATTACAAAATTCCTATAAAAAGCTTCCGGCGACCACATTACAGAATCTGCTCATGTCGCGAGACATTGCAAATTTGTCATAAATTTCATGCGCATCTATAATAGAATCTTACATTTCCCGGTTGGGTGTAGAAAACTAAAGCTGTACCACAACTATAGGAGCGTTTACCCTAGTCCCTCTTCGTCTAAAATGCTTTGCAAAGAACATTTATTT